TTCACGAGCAGTACGGGCAGAACGGATTTTTGATTGGTGTTCTAACTGGATCCCTTGTACAATAATGACGAACGCTTTCATGTCGTGCGCACGCCACTCCAGCGTCATCTCAGCTTCCGACATTATTTCTATCATGTGATTCCGTAGCAACTTCCGTGCCAGCTCCATTTCCATGTTGAACGACCAATGAATATAGTTATCATTACCGAGTAAGTATGTTGTTGACTTCAATATTGTGCCTTGGGCTCATAACCTGACACTTTAGTGCAGGTGTGAATATAAGCTGTTAGATCCTGGTTCATCAATTCAATTACATCCAGTCTAAAAGTTACATGCATATGCTTGTAGTTAATGTTGACGTTGCAATATTAACGTCAACATCGACTGCAACTGCAACAATAACCACAACCATGCAGTTGTCATCCTAGTGTATAGCGCGTTATGTAAAACTAGTCGTTCATTGATAATTTTTTTAGAGCCCATTTATTTATATCTCAAAGAATCCAATGTCAAAATCTTGTCCTAATGAAAGAATATTACGAGCTTAGTCCAAGACATCTTTCCAGTAAAATCTCTCCTCGCCATTAATTTTCCTGTCTGGAGGTTTTAGCAAATCTTCTGGAGTCTGACAATTAAATTTAGTTTGTCGCCTCGTTCTTTATGATTGATCTATTTGCATGGTCCTACTGTCCTGAATTTCAACATTTCTGGATGGTTTCATGTCGAATAATAGATTTTTGCGCCTCACAAAAAAGCTTGAACGAAGGTCTGCTAATGCTTTTACCCTCTCCATGTGCCATTTAAAAAGAAACTCTGGGTGGCTAAGTTTGCACAAGATTGTTACGGTTTGTTGTCGAAGGCCTTCTATTATTCACTGATCTTTAGTACACAGGACAATTTCGGTCTTCTCTATCCCTACTTAGAATGCTCATGATAAAAAGATTGGATAAATATTTATCTAACAAAGCAGACAAACGTGTACGATTTGATTGGCGTTAATTTTTTTTACTGTTTATGTGGTCCAACAGATTATAGAGAGAATATATATTACCTTGACGAAAAGCAGTTTTAGATGCCGACAAGGTGTTCCCCGCTATATTGCTGGCTCCATTAACCAGTCCAACGATAATCTAATCGCATGGGAAGATGAAAACGTTTTTGAAAATTATTTTGCGTCGCTCAGAGGTGCAAGATCAATCTATAAGACTTTGTCTCCATTGTATTTTCGACATAGGTTGTATCTGATACAATGTTTGCCATATGAGTCTGTCGAACTCACCTTAATTTTCAACTATCAATTATGGAAGACAACTGAAGTATATCTAGCAAAATAGATATCTTTCCTACCTCTTGAGCAAGAGCATCATGGTCAAACTAAGCATGATTTCTAGGGAACATATATCAGATGTTTGCTTCTCAAATTCCGCGTCTCTAACTTTGCTACGACAGACAATATCCATCAACTAAGCTTTTACATCCATGCGATAAATGTATGTATGAAATGGCTTCCGAAGAAACCGATGCCGCTTCGTTCTCCGCGTTCATTGCTAGGTGGAGCTGCTTTTCCCTTCCAAGCCAGATTAAAAACCGTTTGAACTTGGTTGAGCTCAAAACACTACAATTCGATAAATTCAAGCATTCAAATGCCCTTTTGTACTATCACAGGGTTCTGGCATGATAGAGGCGTGGGTGTCTTATCCAAAACAATTGATAATTAAGTTGGTTAAGATATCTTTTTTTGTCTACGATATTTACAACCCCCTCTTTGTTTGATATAAACATATTTTAAAAATAGATAGTATATAGTATGTGCGTTAACGATAATGTTGACTGATTCATTATGTTGAGCTCACCCGAGTGGGTTCAAGCACAACATACTCCCAGCCAGCAAAGTCTTCCTTCAACCCTGCTATTGACCCAAAGGGTTCGAATATACATGATCTAGGCCTCTACATATAAGGCAAATGCCGTTTATGCCGTATATCAATGAAAAACGGCACGTCACGTGATCAAAATAAGGCACATAAGGCACTTCCAAATAAAGTATCTCAAGCTCTACAGAAAAACATTTTCAAATGTCTCGAATGCAGTTATTGATCTATTGCTGAGCGAAGAACTGTCGAGAATGTAAGATCCCTTCTAAGGCGAAA